ATCATCATCACCATCATCATCACCATCATCATCATCACCATCATCACTATTATCATCATCATCACCACCATCATCATCATCAGGATAAACGAGATAGATGGTTTGTATGCTTTGAAGTCGGAGACTAGCATTCTGGTCATTGGTTCGAATGACTTCAACGTCTACAGGCTCTCAGATCACATGTCCAAGAAGGGCTGGTCACTCAGCCCGTTGCAGTACCCAACGCTGTGAGTTCTGATGATGATGGTGGTGCTGTTATTGTATTCATTCTTTTGTTCGCTCCTCTATTCCTTTGTATATTCATTCATTCATTTATTTATTCGTAATTCACATCTAATGATAATACTATTTATGACTGGTTTTTGAAATGTTGATGATTGTATTCGTTGTTTTTGTGATGATTTTGATGATGATCTTGAGTGATGACGATGACGTCATAATGATGATTGACAGGATCCACATAGCGATTACGTTGATACACACGAAGGAGGGTGTGGCCGATCGATTCATTCGTGACGTCACTGAGTGCACGCGGGAAATTATGAAGGTCAAGGTGACCAAAGATACTGGAACTGTGAGTCGTGGTGACGATGATGGTGGTGATGATAATACTGTTGATGATGCTGATGCTAATGGTGATGATAATACTGATGATGATGGTCATGATGATGACGACGATGATGATGATGATGACGATGAGGGTTGTAATTGAATGAAGGAACGAATAACTATTACAAACATAGCGATTAAAAAAGAAACTTATTTCATTTTAGGCGGCAATATACGGAATGGCTCATAGCGTTCCCGACGTTTCATTGGTCGCCGAAGTTACCGGAAGTTACTTCGATGCCTACTACAGCACTCAAGTCAGCCAGTGAGTCAGCCAATGAGAGGAAAGCATATATATTCCTAATTTAAAGTCCATGGTACAAGAATTTTTATTAGTCGGATTGTAGATATGGGATAAATTGTTGAATTTTGATTGGTCCGATTGTAATTATAAGAAAAATAGTTGAACTTTGATTGATACGTTGACGATTGTGAATAATGTTCGATTGATTGAATTGCTAGCTAGCTACTTGTTTGATGGATTTCTTGACTTCATAAATACGTACAATTTTACAACACTTCCAAGTCTTTTCATATTTTAACGTGTTTAAAATTCATTTTGATTTTAGCAATATTTTGTGTATGTGTGTGTGTGTGTGTGCGTGCGTGTGTGCGTGTGCGTGTGTATGTGCGTTTGTATGTGTGTGTGTGTTGGTAGTATATTTTAATTTGATTTTTAATAATTTTCATCGAATGTTTTTAATCTTCTCTGTCAATATTTTAAAAAATTGAAAAAGGTGTTGTGTTATCTCCTTACAAATGTTCATTCCTATCCAAACATTTTATGGCAGTGATACTACAGCTGCTGTCAAATTTTCCACGGTTTATTCAACTTGTACTGTTATGGTAAATCTCTTATTACTGCTACTACTACTACTACTTTTACTACTACTACTTCTGCTGCTGCTACTACTCCTGCTACTACTACTAATACTATTACCATTGTTAGTAAAATTACTACTAAATAAAACATGTTAAAAAATTCCAAATTCTTTTAATAAAAATTCTAAAAAATGAAAAATGTCTATATTTTAAAGATCATTAAACATTCATTTAGCGATTTTCAGCGCCTTGTTTATTCAACACATTTAAGAAATTTTTACTTTCGCTAATTTTAAAAGTATGATTGCTGCTAATACTAACTTCAAGTCTTTTTCCATGTTACTACTTAAAAATAGTTTTGTTAGACAGTTAATTAGTAAATTATTTTCCAATACTGTCCATTTAATCATTATTCACTCACCATTCAATCATCATTTAACCACCATTCAATCATCTGTTATTCAATTATCATTCGCTGATGTAATTATGTATCTCTTACGTGATTTTATTGTCATTAATACTAACGACTGATTCAATCTTATTGGACGTAGTTTGCAGTTCTTTTGGTTCTAGTTTTGACTTATTTAAATTGATACCCAGTTTTTAATCATCGCCTTCGTCATTATATTACTATTATTATTATTATTATTATTATTGTTATCATCGTCATCATCTACGTCATCATCGCCATCATCACATATTCTGTCATCATCAGGTGCAGCAACTGTAGCAGCAAGAACATAGTCGCGATTTTACATGGATGTTATGGCAATTAACAATCAGTTCATCAATTATCATTATCGTCACTGTTATTTTCTTTCATTCTTTACTATTCATTTCATCATTTACGTCACCATTCACTCGCCATTCACTTATCATTCACTCAACATTCACTCAACATTCACTCAACATTCACTCAACATTCACTTATCATTCACTCAACATTCACTCAACATTCACTAAACATTCACTCAACATTCACTTATCATTCACTCAACATTCACTCAACATTCACTCAACATTCACTCATCATTCACTCAACATTCACTCATCATTCACTCATCATTCACTAAACATTCACTCATCATTCACTCAACATTCACTCATAATTCACTCACCATTCACCCACCAGTCAATCATCTGTTATTCATTATCATGCGTTGATGTAATTATGTATTTCTTACGTGGTTTCATCGCCATTAATCCTTCGCTAATTTTTCCTTATTACGATTTTGGTTATTCCCAATTTTGTTTCATTTCAATTTTTGAAGAATTTATTCAACGAAATTAGGGAATAAACCAAAAAAATCATTTTATTTCAGATAAAATTCTGTTATTGAATAATTAATTGATAATAATTAATCAATTGTTGAATTGATTGTGATTAATTAATTAATTACAATTAATTAATTAGTTAATGCGACAATTTATTTAAACACCGCGAAACTATGAAGAAATCAAAAAAACTATCAAATAGAACTTACACACACGCACACATATATTTATATATACACATATGACTAGAAAATCTATTAGCACAAATAATATTGAAGATTGAATAATTTTTAACTTGAAAAATATAATAGATGGAATGAAATACAGCGCCTAATAAAGGAATAAATCAATGTTTTGTATGCAGAACGAACCTATTTGTATGTTTGTATGTTGCATTTATGTATGCAAAGAAAACAGTTTATGCGTTTGTACATTTTTGTATGGGTATTACAGCTATGCATTTTGCATGTGTACATGTGTACATGTTAATATATAGGCAGTTAGTACATTTTTGTATGTACGTACATTTTTATATGTGCACATTTTTGTATGAGTGTAGTACACTTTTGTATGTTTGTACAATCTTGTATGCGTTTGTACTCGCAGAGATGAGTTGTACATATGTACGTTTCAAATGCTTTAGAGGTTTTCAGTGAATTTTGAGCATTCGTAAGGCTCAGTAAATAATAATAGTAAATAATAATAACGAAAACAACAACAATAATAATATTATTATTAGCAATAACAACAAATGTAATAATACTGATAGCAACTATCAAATTATTTTTATTATTGTTATTATTATTGTTATTATTGTTGTTGTTAGGCAAATTGAAGTACTTAAGAAAGCAACATAGAACACGAACAGCTAAGTAGACATCAGTTACATTACAAACATTCAGGGTTATCGCGTGAAAATTTTATTATTATTGTTAATAAATTATTGTTAATAAATTAATAATAAATAGAATACTAAAAATAATAATATTGTTTATCTAATTATTATTAATCTTATTGTTACAATAAAATCAATTAAACAGTCACAAAGTTTTTAATATTTAAAATACTAGCTAACGTTTATAATATAGAAAAATGGATTTTTTGGCAAATATGAAACGAGGAAAAACACCAAAAAAAACAAACTATATATATATATGTGTGTTTGTGTGTCTGTATGTACGTCTGTGTGTGTGAGTGTGTGTGTGTACGTACGTGTATTCACATTCCAAATAAAATATAACACTATATTTCAGGTCACAATGATGAAGTGAAGTTGGTCATTTATTATGAAATTTAATATAACATCGAATCGCTCATTTTACAATTATTAAATAATTAATTAATTAACCAATTAAATTAACACATATTTATTTATTTATTTAATTTTTCTATTAATACATATTTTATTGAATAAATTTAAAAAATTCCAAGAAACTGGGATAGCTAAGTGTGTTACGTTTAAAAATTACTTCAAAAATACTTAAAATTACTAGCAATATATATACTATATGTATATATATATATATATATATATATAAATTACTACAATATATTGCTAAAAGTAAATTCGATTTTGAAAGTACAATCACATCAAAAACAAAAAACTCCATTTTTTTTAAAACGCGTATTCGTACAACTTTTTATATGTATGTTTTTATGTTTATTTGTATGTTTGTTATATTTGTATGTTTATACAATTTGTATGTATGTTGCATTTATACTTTGTATGTTGTATATCTGTATGTCAAGCGGGCAAAACATTTTTTTTTGTATTTTGCATGTGACGCGCTCAAAATAGACCGTTGCTGTCAATCAAGAGAAAAAAATTTCATCAAAAGACACATTTTGTTTGACGCTTTTTTTTGTTGAAAATTTTATGCTTCAAATTTATAAAATAATATTTTTGAAAAATATAGTAATTTTAAGTTCTCTTTAAAAAATTTAATTTAACATCTGATGAAATTAAGACATTTATGTAACATGAAAAAACAACAAGAAACATTTTTTTTTGTAAACACAAGATGGAAATTAAATAATTTTGATCTATATTAACTCAATAAAACATATTTTAAGTGGTCGTAATCCATGTTGAATCGAAAACTTCTTATCAAATAAAATTTGTACCATATTTCGATTTGTCGTTAGTTTTAACACGTCTCCAGTGCCAAACCCAAGTTAAACAAGCAAAAAATGTTAGACTGACACATGCTAGGTCCAGCGAAAGTGATCTCGCCTATCTATACGATACGAAACGATGCGATACGATACGATACAGCACAATAAGTTACGATATCACATGTTGTGAGTGTGATCTGTTTATTCACGTGTATTTACATCCACTGTGTGTGTTTTTTTTTCTAAACTGAAGTAAAACTTGTAAAAAGACTAAAACAAATTAGGATAGGTATCTACTTGAATGAAATGATATCATGGGATGTTCTGAAATGTCATAGAAACGTTGTTTAATCCATCTGCATGTTGAGTTGTATGGAACGAGAACATTGGTGGAATGTTCAAACGACATGTCACTCACATTAAGATAAGATAGCTAACTATATATCTAGAGAGAGAGAGAGAGAGAGAGAGAGAGAGAGAGAGAGAGAGAGAGAGAGAGAGAAAGAAAAAGAGAAAGAAAAAGAGAAAGAAAAAGAGAGAGAGAGTTTAAAAAAGGGACAGGAAAAAAGAAGGAAAGAAAGCGAGAAAGAAAGAGAAAAAAGGAGACTAAAACATTTGAATAACAAGAAAATGGAAATCAAACGAAAAATAAACAATACAATGTCAAAAATCGATATACAATTCTCACGCTAATAATTACATATAATTACATGTTGGACTTGAAATAGATCGTGTGTGTGAATAGAATTTATGTATCTAGGATATCTAGGTACCATGATGTTATTTGTTATGTGTACGTGTATGTGTACACGTATGTGAGTGTATATCTGTGTGTATTTGATTGTATGTGCGTGTGGTGTGCGTGTGTGTGTGTGTGTGTGTGATTCGCTGTGTGGTGTGTGTGTGATTTGCTGTGTGTGTGTGAACTTGTTTTTGAGTTCATCCCATTTATTTGATTTCAGTTGAATGGAAAAAATTTTTTCAAAATTTGTTATTGATTTTCGAAAAGAAGAAACAAACTTATGAAACCAACTCTTAAAATTATCCTTAAAACTCATTCTAAACCAAATATTTCTTTATTGAATTTGAAAATTTAACCAACTGAAATAGTCAGCAGTTAAATTTACTTTTATGAATAAATATTAAATTAACATAGTATAAGTAGCTGTAAGCCCGCTAGGACGCTTTCGTCATAAAATGCGTGAGATGTCAAGCCAATAAGAAAAGATCATATATAGAGATGGCTAACAATGATTCGAACCATAGGTGCGTCTGACGAAGATGTTGTTTCATTTTTATTTTTGACTAATTAAAAAAATTAAAATATTGTTAACTGAGATTGATGATGACATTTTTCAACCGGACAAGATGAAGAACAACAAAAATTCAGAAAATATACGTACGTCTTCAACGTATTACAGCAATTCCTCCGAAGAAAATCTCATTGGTTGGGAATCTAGGGCAGTTCAACAAGTACTTTAACGTAATTGGTTGGAAAGTAGCCGATCTGACCGTTTATTTGACCTTCGAACCAGTTTTCGTCGATACGTGAGAGAAGTTGGATGACGTCACCCTCCTTGAAGCCAAGTTCACCGTCGTTTTCGGCGTCAAAGTCGTACAAGGCCTCACACGACGGGCCTGTATGTGTGTGTGTGTGTGTGTGTGTGTGGGTGTGTAAGTGTGTGTGCGTTTGTGTGTGTGTGTGTGTGTGTGTGTGAAGGTGGGTGGATGTGTAAATGTGTGTGTGAATGCGTTTCTCTGTGTGTGGTGCGTGTGTGTGATGCGTTTCAGTTTGTGTTGTGTGTGTATGTGTGTGCTTTTGTGTTTGTATGTACGTGTGGGTGTATGTCTAAAGAAATATACCAGAAATCTTGAGAGCAGAATTAACGGGACTGGCAGATCTGCTGTTTGGCCTGCTGTTGGATTTGAACCCGGACCCTCCATCATTGACGTTCAGCTTGTTAGTGGAGAGGATCTTCTTAGGTACGTACTCCTTCTTCGGTCTGCTGCTAGCCTCCGCACATCTGTTTGGTTGTTGGTGTAGTAGTTGTTGTTGTGTGTA